CAATGACACATGAACGCGGCCTAAGAAAGTATACGGCCCCCATCAACTGGGATGAAGAAAATGACTCGGCTAGATAGAACGACCCTAGTGAGATTTAGGACCGAACATTGTCCAAAGCTGAATCACATCAGGAAGCGGTATAATCTGACTGATGACTCTACGTGTGCAGTCTGTGGGGGGAAGAGACCAACGAACACCTGATGGAATGCGCAGCCGATGTGGTCGCCAGAGGTCAGGAGTTTGGTGTCGACTACAGACTGAGAGCGCCGATTGACCTAACCGTCCGAAGACCCTCTGCTACAGTCCGGTATCTGAAGAAGATCCGGAAGTCGTGGTTCTAAAGCCACTTTCCTTGCAACTGATCCTGCAACAACAACAACAGCTGCTATCAGGGCCCGAGAAATGAGATCCAAGGCAGAGCGGGACAAGTGAGTTCCGCTAGCGGTCGGCGAACGTTCATCAACGAGTAGAAGAATCCTCAAAAATGGTCAGAAGCCCCAGGTAACAGACATCATGTTGTTTAGAAAAATTACTAACTAAACCTTACAAACATATGCGTACCCCAAACACGGACAAAATTGCTTTTTTGATAGGATTACTGAATTTTTATGAGGCATTTGAAAGTTTGGCAAAAGAGAAGATAAACTCCGAAGCGAACTGCAGTCAGTGAGCGAGGTTGAACTTACATATTTCTGGACAGTGGACTCTTGTTTGGTAAATCCGGTTAGGAAGTCAGAAAAGTAGGTCTGTTCATCCGCACTAATGGACGAAAGTGCGGCAGTCGAGAAGAGTAGAAGGTTGCCCGCATAGAGGAAAAGAATAGAAGTATTTAGTTCCGAGTCTGAGGCTGGTGTTGCGGTTGCAGGAACTGAAAACAAATATGCAATCGTTAGCTAAATGCAAAACATTCGTTGGTTAAGATAACACTATTTAGGGTGCCTGCTCACCAGGTGTATGAGGGACATTTGGCTGAGTGGTTGATAATGGACAGATACGAGTCAGGCAAGCAGGATGTGGCAGGAACGTGCTCAAGTTCACTGCGAGACCAGGACTAAAAAGAACTAAAGGTGTTAATCTGTAGGGAGATGATAATCGTCAAAGTTACCAGAAGTCTTCGTAGCAGCAAACGATAGGAAAAAGGTCCTAAAGTGTCCATCAGTAGAAAAGACTAGCAGCTGGTTGCATACAACGTCCAGCGTCAGTGGTCTGATAGCAGCATCCAGGAGAAATAGAGAGGCAAAAGTATCATCCAATTTTTCAGTGCTTGGGTAAGCACGAAGCTAAAAAAAACAGAAGAGGAGGCCAGCAGTCTAGTAACGGGCTTAAATCAGGACAGGGGTAGTTAAGGTATGTGAGTCCGGGGGGCGCTCTGTAATACCTCGCATCGCCCGTTGCGATGATTGAAGGCTGAAAAGACAACATACCGCCTCCACCACGCCAGTCCAGCATGCACCTCGAAGGCTTGCTCCTAGAGAACAAAAAAAGACAAGCGTTCAATTAGATAAAGTAATCCTTTAAATGACACGTACCGACCAGGAACAATAAAGAAAAACGGGCAAGGATAGATTATGTAACTCCATCGGCAACTTGCGAATCGTGTAATAGGGGAAAAGTGGTAATAGTTGTTTTATGAGTGGAACATCACTGTGGAGAAACAATAAAATGTATATGTTAAAGCAAAAGGCAATCAGACTTCCGCTGAAATTCTTCGCGTGCGCAACAGAATGGAACGCATAAATTAAAAGTAAGCAGAAGGCAACTATCAAAAAATAAACTGTATCTGAATAAACCACCACTAGCCAATATGCATGAGGTCAGGAGAGAAAGGAGTAATCAACCAATAGGAGATATGAATCTGATAATTTCGTGCGAGGTGACGTAATACAAAGGAATATTATTGAAGCCATGTAAAAGCACCCCAGGGAACAAGGAACGTAAGTACGAATGCGCGTCTGTATCACCACAATAAATAACTTGTGCAAATTTAAGAAAGTTAAACCACATAAATGAATTCTGTGTAGAAAAAAGAAATGCCTATGCAGAAGAATAAGAAATAATCATAGTTTTCTTCTAAACTGCAGACCATAGATAAAAGGTAGCAGCAAAAAAAACATACAATTCCAAACTGATATCCCACGAAAATAAAATAACGCAAGTCATCAACTCAGAAAACGTAATCCAGTATTGCCAGACCAAAGGGCTACTGCCGACTGTCATTACTTGCAGCTACGGATGCTTAATAAGACAGTAAGGCCTGAGGGTGCACACAAGTGAATACTTACTTACTTACTTACTTACTTACTTACTTACTTACTTACTTACTT